ATGATGTGATGATTCGTTGCTTCATCAAACAAGGTGTGCTTTGACCCAATAATAATAATAATAATAATAATAATAACAATAACAATAATAATAAAGAAGATAGAAATTATATTTTATTTCCAGATAATAACAACAACAACAATAATTTAAATATTGGGTCCGGCAAGACTGCGTCATATCATATGATAACCGGTCAAACATGTCTCACTTCTTATCGACCGTCAAATAATCTCCATGATATCTAAACCCGAACTTAAACGTACAAACAGCCATTAATTATTTAAAAAATAATAATTTAAAAGTCTTCGAAATTTGTATCAATATCTGCTGTCTTTTTTTCTCCGCTGCCAAACGCTCGTGGTTTGATATTTAATGTTTTCTACGAGATTATTAAAATTGGAAAATAGAAATTGGTTGTGGAAAATTAACGAAAAAAACTACGATTATTTTCTATTTTCTTTCATAAAATGAGAAATGATTGTGTAAATATTTTTCAAGAGCATATTTTCCTTGAGATCCAATTTATTTAAAGTTACTAAAATCTGAATATATTTTTTTATATATAATATCATAACATAACAAGAAATAAACTATTATCAATTATAGCTTGCAATTTACTTTTAGTTTATATGTTTAATAATAAATAGTAGCAGTTATTAAATATCCCATGAAAAAGTCCTGGCTTTGGTGAGGTTAAAAATAAATGTCTATCTTCATAGATCTTGGAAATAAATCTAGATATAAATATTAGAGACGTATATATATATATATATATATATATATATAATTTTTATATAAGAAAAATTATTAAATTAAATAAAATGGAATCTAAAACCCATTGAACACAACAATTATAAGTAGAATAATTTTTTAAATGAATATTTTACAATGAAACGAAATTGAATTTAGATCAAATAAAATCTGAATTCAATCAAAAATACAATCTAAAAAAATGAATAAATACAAAATAATCTAACTAAAACCAATTTAAAAACCTAAATATATGTCATGTCTATATTTACACCTTTTTAAACCAAAAAAATTCTCACGTCCTCTCTCTCTCCCCCTTTTTTTTGGTCAAATCCTTAAACTAAAAAACGTATACAAATAAAAAAAAAATGTTGGTCGTCATCTTTTAATTCTCATGGGACCACAATAGTTAATATGCTCAGTCCATAATAGTTACATATATATATATATACATATACAAATATATTATATATAACAATATTCACAAACATCTGGAGACCCATAAAGAGAAAACACCTCAACAAAAAAAGTTACGTTAGACTTCGATCGATCATGTCGGGAAGAGGGAAGAAATCGGAGCCGATGAAGGTGGTGTTCATAAACACTCAATACGTTGAAACCGATGCTCGGAGTTTCAAGACTGTCGTGCAACACCTCACCGGAAAAGACGCCACCGTCCCCGGAGAAACCTCCGATTACTCCGCCGCCTCCGCCTCCGGTCGTAGCAGCAGCGGCGGAGACAAAAGCATTAGCGACGTGAAGCAATTCCACGGCGGCGGAGGCGCGGCGGAGTTCGATAGATTTGTGAGGGAGATGCCACCGGTTGACGAGTTGTACAAATTATGGTCAGATTATTGAGTCATTATTAATTCATATGGTTATTAAAATTTTGTGTACTTTCTTTTTCTCTCTCTCTCTATATATATATATATACGTACGTCATTAAATATAATTGGTCTATTCTTTATTTTTTAAGTGACTTTCCTCATATTCGAACTTTTTTTTGGTGGTTACCCCGTAAGCATGAAAGAAATAAAAGGAAATAAATTCTAAAGTAGCAGATTTTACATAATTTCAATAATGATTTATATATATATATATATACATATATATTAGCAGTTTACTCCCCGACCTTTACAAGTTATTCGTTTTTCACCCCTAGTTTCTTATATTCACCCATTTTCCCCTCAGTACAGTGGAGATCTTTTTCGAAGAGAAACCCCACGCCGTCCACTCTGGTAATAGCGTTAACGGATGACCTGACGGAAGAGAGAGGAAACTGTTGACGTGAGATATTTGGGGGTAAAAACTGATAAATTGTAAAATGTTGGGGCAAAAATAGATGAACGCAAAACGCTGGGAGGGTTATCCGAAGAATGAAAAACATTGGTTTAGGGCGGTGTCGCTTTTAATGTCCACCGAAATAGGCGACCCATCATTTGACAATAGCCCAATAAGGGATACATAGCAAGGCCCATTGGGCCCATTAACTATAATATAAATATTGGTCTTTATGGCCGATGACGCGTAATTCAGATCCACCGAATATATATATAAAATTCTCAATTATAATATTTTTTAATATAAAAATTACTATATTCATATTTTTCAATCTAAATAAAAATATTTTTTATAATGATATTAAAATATATCTTTAAAATTAAACTGAAAATATATAAATCATTAAAAAAACTATAGTTTTTTTAATGATTTTAACAATGTGGAGTTAGTCTTGATTTACAGATTCAATTAATATTCAGATTATACTGTATATAATAAATTTAAATGACTTGTATTGTGTGTAATTAAAAAAGTTGATACATATATATACACACATATATATGAGTTAGTGTTTGTTCACAAAAAAGCTTAGACGAATGACAACAAAACCATGCATGGCTCACCCTCTCTAACCAATATTTGGTGAACCATTTTATATATTTAAATATCACAGTTTTCATATTCCTTACAATCTTATTGCATTATCTTCATATATTTAATATACGGCAAAACACATTATATATATTTTTTTAATCTCACAAAGTCAGAGAAAAAAATAAATAAAGAGGAATAGAGAAAGACACGCGCGAGAGAAGCGCGTGTGAGAGAAGGAAGAGTACAAACAAACAAGAGATGACAATTCTTTTCCCCGTCTCTTACTCCATCGTTTCTTGCTCCCTTTGCCTCTCTCTCTCTCTCGAGAATTTTCCGTCAAAAGAATTTAGATACAGACTTCTCTCCTTTGTCTGCGAATATATACACATATTCACGTATACACACACTCTCTCTCTACAGAGGAAAGTTCTGAACGTGTCTCTTATCGTTACCCCAAACCTCTCGATCTTGTTCCTTGTTTTCTTCTGCTCGCAGTTTCTCTCCGCATTTTCTCCAAGTTTCCAGGTTTCTTCTTCGGAATTTTTGTCCCTCTTCCTTGTTCAATTTTTGGGTTTCTGTTCCTCGTTCTGTTTAATTGGTTTCCTGTGGTAGTTAATACCGTCAATGGTTTCCAAGGGTTTATCAAAATGGTCATGTAGCCCTAAATTGTGTTCAACCGTGCTCGGAGTTAAAGGTTTTACATGGCGATTGCTTTGGATTTAGGGTTTTTGTAAAACCCGTTAGTTCCGGATGTTGCACGAATTGCGGGCTGCAATTGAATATTACGTTTGTTTTCTTCTCACAGGTTGCAGTTTCTTATGCCGAAGACTGTTGCCATTTCAAAGCTTGTACATTTTTCTTGAAGAATAGGTTTTTTCAGAATTCGAGTCTTCCCCCGTTCCTCGACATGCTCCTGGTTTTGGTTGAATGGTGTTGGAGTCAATGTTGTTTAAAAAACATATAGAAAGCATTCACTGCGCTTGTTAATGTCGGTGTGATATATCCGTGTTCTTAAGAGCTTGGGGAGTAAGTGTAGTAGAGGGGTTTGTCTTATTTTCAAGACTTTGGATGGGTAATAAGCTCGGGAGGAAGAGGCAAGTGGTCGATGAGAGGTATACAAGACCGCAAGGGTTGTATGCTAGTAAAGATGTCGACTTTAAAAAGCTGAGGAAACTGATATTAGAGTCTAAGCTTGCCCCATGCTATCCCGGGGATGAGGAATGCTGCCACGATCTCGAAGAATGTCTAATTTGCTTTCTGGTTCGTATTTTTGTCTTTTGTTTCCGCTATTGCATTTCGCTCCGTTCATAGTATGCTAATAGACCATCATCCTTCCCTTTGATTTGCCCATAAATCTCTCCCAATCAGAAACGCGACGGGAAATTGGATTATAGTGAGTGACTCATTCAGAAGAGGATCTTGCAAAATTGAGAAAGTCATTCTTGTGTGTGGAGATGCCTCTTATTTTTGTCTTTTGTTTCTGCTAATGCATTTCGTTCCATTCACCATCTTTCTCTTTGATTTGCCTATAAATCTCTCTCAATTGGGAACGATGGGAAATTGGATTCTAGTGAATCATTCAGAAGAGAATTTTGCATGTGAGATGTGTTAAATTTATGGCCTTGTATGTGATGTTGGCATGTGGAATGGTATGGTCTCCAAAGATTTTGTAGGGAGATGATTAACTTTCTTTTGGAAATAACTAATGCTATAATTTTTTCTTGTGTTTTTAGTACTACCCGAGCCTGAATAGATCGAGATGTTGCATGAAAAGCATTTGTACAGGTAGTGCTCATCAGCCTTTTGCAACTTTAGCATTTTAATCTATTCTGTGTTCTCCGCCATTTGACTTGGCTTCTATGGTACAGAATGTTTTTTGCAGATGAAGAATCCTAATTCAGCTCGGCCTACTCAGTATCCTTACCCACCATATATTGTTTTTAAGTTTTGGTTTTCTTCTCATTCTAAAAGCCTTTTTGAAAATTTTCTACTTGATTTATTCGCTCTTCTCATGGATCCTGTTTTCCCCCTTAATTATATGAGGTGCCCTTTTTGTAAAACATCCAATTATGCCGTTGAATACAGAGGAGTAAAGACAAAGGAGGAAAAGGGCATTGAACAAATTGTAAGCTAAGATTAGTTCTTAGCTGAAGCTTTTCTTGATGTACAGTATCGGTTATTAACCGATCCTATTTGTGCTTGATGCCTATGTTGATTTCCGTCTGTTTATCCTGCAGGAAGAACAGCGGGTAATAGAAGCACAAATTAGGATGAGGCAGCAGGAACTTCAGGATGAAGAAAGAATGCAGAAACGACTGGAATCATGTTCTTCTAGCACGAGTGCTGTGACTGCCGATATGGAATATGGTTCAGCTGCATGTCAGTTTTGCCTGCCAGAACGTTGTTAATGTTTCATCAGAAAGAGAAAGCAAATGCAAACATCTTGATTTGTTTCCTTGTTCTTTGTTTTGGTCCACAGCTGTGTCATATAATTCTCATGTGGAGGACGGGGAAGTTGTTTCTTCTCAGGATGCATGTTCTGCATCAGCAGTCAGACGACCGCCATGTCCTCGGGGATACAGGTCTGTCTTTCAAGGGTCATTTTTTCAATATTTTGCTCAGCTCTTTCCCCAAATAAATTTGGGACTAAGGCACTGCTGTTGTTGTTTGCTCAGTTCTTTCTGTGTTTTTACCATTGGTAAACCGTAAACATAGTGATATCCGAATGAGGAAACTTTGATTAAAATGAAATTAAAGTTACTTTATTGAACTTTATGTCCTGAGATCGGACGGAATATGATTTCCTGCCTGCAAGGTTTCTTGCTTCTGTGAACCTCAATGCTTTGATCACAGTTTGATTTTGGAATGAAGGGAGGACACTGCGTCTCCTTTTACAAGAGGCTGATGGCTTAGGTTAGCCATTCTGAGTCGAAATTGATTTTGTTTGTACTCTGTCAGGAAATCAGAATTATATTTGTCTCGTATTTTTTGCATCGTTTTACTGGCTATAGCTATGTACACAATGGTGATTTGTTCACGACATTTCATCTGGGTGATTCATGTTGGGGGTAACTAATTATTGCTTTTCTGGTTTGTCTGAAAACTTCCGTACAGCAGGAGTGATGAGTTTAATGTTGATCTTGAGGACCTTATGGTCATGGAAGCAATATGGCTTTCCATTGAGGTAATATGTTCAATTGAACATAAGTTTCCCATTGGTTGAATGCTGAATAGTAAAGCTTGGGACGTTTGCCATGCGATAATTTTACTCGGAACAAGCTGAAGAAAATTGTGTATGGAATATTCCGTATTTTGTACATATCACTCACCTGAGATTATTAATTTTCTGGACTTCGTTGGATTAACGGAAAGGCTCTCTAAACTCTGTTCCCAATAGTCATTGAGTGAGAATAATCCGTATATATCTTCTCAGGAACATTGGTTTAAGCTATTTTTTCAATCTCTGATGCGAGAAATTGTTGTTAACAGGAAAATGGCGTGCATGGAACTACAACACGCGAGGAAATCACCTCTTCTGCTCAGTATGTACCAGAAGATCGTTACGTTTCACCATCTACGGTGCCTACTATCAGACCATCATCATCGCCGTCCTCTTCATCTCCATCCGGTGGGCTGGCTTGTGCCATTGCAGCTCTTGCTGAACGGCAGCAATTGGTCTGTGAATGTGAATCCTCCAGCAACAATATCCATAATGTGAATGCTTCCTCGTACAGCATGTTTCCAGGCAGTTGTACCGGCTATTACAGCATTGCAGAACAATGTATAGATGATAGCACTTACCCTGAATCCGGGGCATCTGTTCACGGATCGCTGAATACGAAAGAGCCGGGATCGAGCTATGCAATCTCAGGCATGAGTGATGGTGATGATAGTGTCAGCGAGAATTCCAGGGAAACTTGAAGAAGCTTCCGGAATCTTCCTCCACCACTTCCTCCCATTGTTCCAGAGAGTTTTGAGGAGCAGATGATGTTGGCAATGGCAGTCTCTCTGGCAGAGGTTCACTCCACGACAAGCTCACCCATGGGAGTTGCATGGCAATGATAATGCAAAGGTAATAGAACCAAGAACTAAGATAAGTCATTGCCATCCTTATTTGGAAATGGGTGGTTTAGATTGTTGGTTTTAGGGTTTAGTTAGAGAGGAGAGATTTTGTCTAAAAGAGACAAATTGAAATATATATATATATATATATATATATCTGCATGTTTTGTCTCTTTGGTGTTTACTTTGGTTTCCTCACACATCACACTCCATTTGTATCATTCCATGCTTCTTCTACTCTCTTCCCTGCCCACTCGCATTTGCTCATCATATAGCAATTTATATTTTAATTCTCACCGAAATCGCTATCTAATTGTCAAAAAAATAAAAATAAAATCAAATGTTCATGTTATGAAGCAATCTATTTCTAAGTTGTGATCTTTTTTAACATTTATGTGCTGAGACAAAACATAAAATTTGAGTAATTTAGCTTTGAGGTGACAAGTGTTTCTGGTCAAATGAAGCTCTAAAAGCTGACAAACAAGAATTTGTGGAACACAAGGAATGAGCATGGCTCTTCTGTTCTTCCAATGTTCTATCCAAAGCTCAATCATTGGCAACAACCCAAGTTCTGCAAGTAGCAGACAGCTCAATCCTCCTCCTCCTCCTCGCTGCCATAATTCTGGCACAAAGATGTTAATCCCGAGTTCTCGTTGCTGGCTTCTACCGGCTTTGCCTCTTGGGGTTTTGCTGGAGCAGCTTGCTTCTTTATAACCGATATCCGAACTGATTTGAATGGATTATTACTAACTGTGCTTTTCTTAGGCTCGTTTCGGATTTCACCAGAGCTATCCAAAATATCAGTCGGGTTGCTTGGACTTTCTTCTGACGCTTTTCTCTTCTTTGAAACATCTGAAGATGCTTGTTCCTGAATGTGAGCAATGTCGCCATAATCATCATCTAGTTCTTCATCGGCAATCCTCCTGATAACTTCTTTCGGCTTACTGAATATTGACTTTATGAGTGCCTCATCCTCTTCTTCCAATCTTTTTTCCTGTCCAAAACCAAAATCGACAAATGGGGCAGTTAGCTAAATGATTCATCAACATCAATATCAACATCGCCTTGATCCTAAAGCCTAAAACCCCTAAATCTATCCACATGCATGTTTGGACGTGCAGGTCTGTGAAGAACTAAAGTGGCTTAGCTTCCTAAAAACTGAAGAGCACACTTAGTGATTCAGCGATAATCAAGATAATTACACATTTTGATTGTTAATGCTTTAAATACCATGTTATTTACTAATCAACTTGTTCTTAGTTTCTTAGGAACTTCGAAAAAAAATGTTATGAAGTCAATGTCAAGACATTAGGAATAAGAAAAAGCAAAAGCATTAGAGGAACCTACCTTCTCAGCAGCCGTTTTTTGCAAGGCCTCCAACATCGCATCTACGCTGACAGTAGCATGTCTAGACTGCAGGGAAAACAAAAGAAAAAAAAGATGATAATTAGTATCACTAAATTATTGGCAAACATCAAAAACATTATGACACATCAAGAATCAAGTATCATATACCTTCATCGATTTCATTTCATCAAGTGCAGCTATAATATCCATCTCTCTTTTCGAATCCAGAGTTCTATTCTCCAAGGATTTCATTGCATTCCCCATCTCTTCAGCTTCTCGTTTCCCTTTCTCCTTATCTGCTTCCTGTAAAGAAGGAGAGAAGACAGATTAATAAACTTAGAAAGATATACATCCTCTATGACTGTATGGCATAGTCAATACAAAAGCCACAAATATGAAATCCTTACCTCATCTTCTGCACGCCAGGGTTCAAAATTCCGTGTTGCCCCAGATTCAACAACATAGTCAGAATTTTGTGGATCGGTCTTCATTGCCAGCTCGGCCGAGCACTTGGTGCACTTAAAGTAGAACCTAAATATTTGGATTCCCAGATATGTCTGCACGGGGAACATAATAAAAACCATCGAATTACGATGCCACACATATATCATCGAACATAATTGTTCGTGTAATCCATTCACACTAGAATACGTTAAAGTGATATCCTTTTCAGAACAAAATCAGAAACTTCTACGATTCAAGATTCGTCTAGGTAGGTAATGCTTCTTTGTTATGCGCAAAATGAAAAACGAATCCTTCTTACTGGAAGACAAAAGTGAAATAACCCGAGAGCTGAAAAATTACACTATCCTAAACTTATAGCCAAAACAACACCCGAGTTCATCAAAACCCTAAAAGCCTAAATCTGAGATCGCTGTAACTGCAAGACAAGTTTCGAATCATGAACTGACGACAATTATTCCCATAATTTTCACTGAAACCCTAAAACAACTCAATCCCATGGCATTTTAAGACATACCCACGAACCCTAAAGCTCGAAACAGATCACAGATTCAAACAAATAAAACAGAGAACACAAAATCAGCGGCGAAATCGATAAGTGCAAAACAAAAGCCGAGAAGAAAACGATTGATCCCTTACCTCACCGATGACATCTTCTTTGCGGGAATTGAACTTGGTACCCTTGTAGATGTAATTCCCACAAGTGTTGCAGCGAATACTCATCGGAAGCATCATACGGACCTTAATCTGCTGATTCTTCGGTCGCCGGAGCCGAGGAAGCTTCGACGGATCGAAATCCGGCGGATAATACTTGTTCAGAACTTTTCGCTCTCCCATGTCGCCCTCTTCCTCTTCGTCGCCAAATCACAGGAAGTCAGGAACACCAAAAAATTTCCTTTGTACCTTTGAGGTCCCTATAAATTCTTCCCTGCTGGAAACCGGTTTACGCGTACCGGTTACCGGTTTGAGGTTCAATCGAATCAATCTCCGGTATATACTGAACTAACTAGGCGTGTCAAAATAGCCGGGCCAGCCCGGCCCGGCCCGAGCCCGACAAAAACCCGAACAATTATGGACCGGGCCGGCCCGGCCCGATACATACACGAGCTTAAAATCTTCGGCCCGAAGTCCGGTCTAATGGGCTTTTTTCGGATTCAGGCAGAGCTTCGAGCTTATTTTTTTAAAAATAATAAAATAAAAATAAAAATTATTAATAAAAAATTATCAAAATAGAAAAAAATTAATATATACTAAAGATAATAAAAAATAAAGTTTTGATAAAAACATTTATTAATATATATGTGACCCCAATCTAGTGATTAATGACAATCCTTATTCCATGAGGTTGTGGGTTCGAATCCCATTTATGGTACTCTCCTTGAGTCGGTCAGTTTTACGAGAGTGGTTTACCTGCTCTGCGTGGTTTGCCGGCTACTGCGCAGGACTGTGAGTTTTCTCAAGTCCGCGATGTTATCCTTATGTCGTTCTCGTCCGGTCCATAGGGTGATAGATGTTGCGGTATCCGGTGTCCGACCCGAAGAGTTGTAGAATAGGGGTTTCCCATCGTAACAATATATATATATATATGAATTTAAGAGAAATTAAAACTCAGATTTTTTAATTTTTATATATAATAAAAATTTATTTAAATATTAATGAATTAATATGTATATATTTATGCATGCATGTATATATATTTATCTATATCTATATATATTTATATTATATAATATATAATATATTTATTTTTTTGGGCCAGACTAGCCGCCCACATTTTTCGGGCCGGGCTTTCTTAGGCCCAAATCCGTAAATTTTACGGGCGAACTCGGATTGGGTAACGGATTTTGAGCTTTTTTGACACCCCTAGAACTAACGAACCGAAACCGAAACCGAAATTAACCGAATTACGACAAACAATTCTTTGGTTTAGTCACCAAAATCTGTCATTAAAACATAAAGAGGCCCGATTTTCTTCGGGTTCCATTTCAAATTCTCTGTGATTCCATTTCAAATCTCTGAACAATGTCAATTAACAATGAACACCATAACGTCTCGCGAGACAGACCAAAAGTCCCTGTCTTTATCTGGTGACCCTGTAGGCCTACAAGAACATATTAACCAGAATCAGAAGCTTCACAATGAATTCCCCAGCAGAGAGAAACAGATAATGTCGAGACTTTATTTACCTTGATCTGTTTGAGCAGATTCTTGGCACGATCGTTGTTCTTGAAACGACCTCGAACAGGCTTTGGAAGAAGAGGAGGAAGAAACTCATGCTTTGGAAAAATCTAATACCATATCCAGTTCACCAGTTGTGTAATCAGCATCTAGTGAATTGAAAATCAATACCCAGATAGCTCCGAAAAATCGGATGAGCTTACATCTCGATATAGCCAAATGAGAAAACAATATCAAATCTATCAAATTACTAAACAGGGTAGAGATTCATGCTCTTATCTATCTCCCTTCCTGTGCTTTTGCTTCTCCCAGTGCCTGATGAGCTACATCATACGTTGCATGTAGGCCGACGAACAGATAGTAAAGCAGCATTACTGCCGTACAGATTATGAATCTCAAGATCGCTATATATCCCAACGACCCAATCAGAAAGAGATTCATGGCAATGGATAGTGCCGGCAGCCATGGAACCATTGGCACCCCCCAGACCTTTGGAACACGAGGCTTCGGAAGCAGAGTCATTCCCAAAGTCCCTGCGAGCCAAAAACCTCCGGCCACAGTATAAGCAACCCATCCCCTCTGGTTCATATTCCATAATGCTGATAACCCGATGGAGGATCCTATTATCAAACCCAGATAACCGAGAAACTTTGCTAAATCGGATTTAGGAGTCACATTCTTCACGTAGTATCGTCTCACGAGCAATGCTACTGCCACGAGCATGAAGATGAAGAGGGTAGCAAAGGAGAAAACACTGGACAGGACGTCCAAGCTGGAGAAGAACGCGATCATTGCACTGAGTATGGTTACCAAAAGAGTGGCATTGATAGGGGTGCCGGTTTTCGGATGAATCAATGCAAACCACGGAGGGATCATATGAGCCCGGGCAATCTGAGTGGTGTACCGAGCTTGGCCTAGAGATCCTACCAGCAGACTTGTGGTCATACCCTTCAATGCACATATACCTACCAAGTACTTGGCCCATTTCATCCCGATTTGGCCGAAAGCAACTGAATAAGCAGCGTTCACATCAATCTCGGTGTATTTCACCATCATGGTCAAAGCCAAAGCCATCAAGCAGTAAACCACGGTGATCATAGACATCGAACCCACCAAACCAATTGGTATATCCCTCGAGGGTTTCTCAGTTTCTTCAGCCATGTTTGCCACCATATCGAACCCTGTGTAAGACCAGTACACAACAGCTGCTGACTGGAAAACGCCCTTCGCTCCATAGGGGAAAAAGGGAACCAGATTGGATTTTTCGGAATGGATAAACCCCACGACAATGATGAATGCAATAACACAGACTGTGACAATGGAAGCAATCACATTCAACCATGAAGTCCTCTTCGTTCCACTCATGGCTATGCCATTAGCAACCAGAAGCACAGCGACCGCAACTGGGTCCAAAAGATCAAATCCTTTAGCGAAAGATTCAATCTTAATCCTGAAAAAATCGGAATCGTTCTTGATCATACTAGCCAAATACGAAGACCACGACCTCCCCAACCCAGCAGCACCAACAATGGCCTCTAACATAATATTCCCAGCAGCGATAAACGCGATGAAATCCCCCAATTCAACCCTAAGATACGAGAAGGAACCTCCGGCGACAGGAATTTCAACTCCAAATTCAGCATAACACAAGACGGAGAGCAAAGCGGAGGTACCGGAGAGAGCGTAGGAGAGAACGACGGCGGGACCGGCGCCGCCATGAGCCTCCTGACCAGTGATGACGAAAACGCCGGAGCCGACGACGGAGCCGAAGCTGAGCCAGACGAGGTCCCACCACGTGAGACATCGGCGCATAGGGTTCTCGCTCTCGCGGCGACAAGCGAGGAGCTCGTGGGCGTCGGAGGAGCGGGAGAGAAGGCGATCGGCGAGGCGGGGACACGTGTCGGAGAAAGCGGATTTGTAGGAGGAGAGGTTTTGGAAGGAGAGCTCCGGGAAGAAATCCTGCTTCCGCCATCTCCAGTAGCTCCGATTTCCGGTCGCCGGGTCGTCGGAGATCGGATCCTCCGGCGGCTGGGCTTCCATGGATCCTAGGACTGGAAAATCTTGGACTAACTATGAGGTGATGGTGTCCGAAGAAGACCAAACGCTAATTAAATATTACATTTCCCATTACCCATTGTAATCTAAATGGACAATTAAATATCTTAATCATCGTATTAGTTTGCAATGCATGTAAGAAAGAATCTATGTAATATATATATATATATATATATATTCCTTTTTTGCATAATTGGATTTGTTAGAGATGAATATTACGTTTTTTACTTGTTTTGTTAATAACTTTTCGAATATAAAAATTTTCAAATTTAGAAAGATTGTGATTTTTCTATTTACAAAGGATTTGGTTAGACTTGTATTCTTATTCTTAATTTGATTTTGTATACTTGATTTTTTGTTAAAAAAATATATTATATTTTATCTATATTTGATATTTTATATTAAAATTAAATCAAAATGACCCCTCTTTAATTTAACAATAATATAACGGTATATACGACAGAAATTTGATTTGACGACTAATGTAGTAATATAGTGTGGAACTTGTGTTGAATGTACTAATTCGATACAATTTCCCATATTTATTGAAGATGCATAAAATAAAATATTTTTTGTTGTTTTCAAATTCATTTTACCCTTCCCATACCATATTGGATTTAGGTTTTTAAATATAATTTAAATTTAAATTTAAATTTCAACGGTTTTTTTTTTATCCCAAGGCGAACAATCTTTTACATCATACAATACACCTTCCCGAAATCAAAATATATAATAATATATTATAAAATATTTTACCGCACCCTGAAAGAATAAAAGAGGGAGTGAAAGCAAGAGCACAAACAACACAGGACGAGGGAGGGAGAGAGAGAGAGGCTTCTCGTGTCTTACCCATCGGTGGAACCAAAGAATCTTTTTTCGAGCCACAGGAAAGGCCAATCGAAGAGGCTGAGGATAGGTCGAAAAAAATTAGGGTTTCTTTTCCTCCCGGGGCTCTCTTGGGTTTCCTTCGTCTCGCTTATTGAGGTATGTACCACACGGGAAATTCTTGAAAATCTCGAATTCTTTCATCTGGGCTGTTTTTCAATTTCAGTGAAGTTTTCAAGTTCAAATTTTTCTTGTACTGGTTTCGAGGGTTCCCTCGGATACTGGAGTCCTAGATTTGAGATCAATGTTGGCTTTCATGGAGCTCGGGTTTTATGGTTAGATTGGTTTCCAGTGATTGTTCTGGATTTCCTTTAGAGTAACTTTGAGCGGCTTCGTTGAAAATGTGAATGGTCTGCACTGAGGAAATGCATACTGTTTGAATCGCGAGTGCTTTCAGAGACATGTTCATTGTTGAGGATTCGTTCTGTGCCTCCAGGTGGGTAGATTTGAACTCATCTCCGGTTATTACAAGTCATGATAATCAGCCTGCTGGAGAAACATCGAATCGGGGACGTAGTGGAGTTAGGTCCTTCTCGGATTACATATTTTGTCTCTTGGGTGTGTTTGATTGGAGAGATTAGGTCTCATTCCTTATCGATGTGGCTACACAGGCATCTTGAGATTATACCGGGTATATAGCTGCAGATGGGTATCAGAAGAAAAGTGTGTATTTTCCAACGTGAACTTGCTGAATCGATTAAGTGTCAATTCGTGTTATTGATGCTTCTCTTAAAATGGAGATGCTAACAAGATAAGATTGATTGACAAAGCTATAGGAGATGGATTTCTGTCAAAGACTTTGCTTTTTAGGCTTTTTAGTATCGGGGAAGGTTAGATTCCTTCTTTTTGGTGGATGTTTCAAAGTTTGACCGCATATAAGGTTTCTTTACATCCCTCGTTGTTACTTAATAGGCAGTCGTTTCTATGAATTCTAAATCTGCTGAACTAGATTCCAGTTTTTATTGATAATGATTGTATTATGTTCTGATAAATCTGAGAGATTTTGTGTCAGTTGAACTAAGCGGCACATGAAAATGGGGAAACATTGTGTCTTTGCGAGTATGAAAATGGAAAAAGAACTAGATCTTGGGGATGCTTGACAGTTCACACCTCTGGTCATATAACAAATCCTAGCTGCTTCCTGCTATATTCACATATTTATCTTGTGCTAGTTGAATTGAACACTTCCAATTCCATCAGACTGCAGTGGATCATTCTTTTATCAGTTAATCTCTGAAGTAATGGTTTGATCATTTTTTTTGTCTTGAAGCTGCTATGTGAAATTCTTCGGAGTATTCTTAGGATTTGTTTAACAAAGTTCCAGTTTAAGAACAGTCTATTATCTAATTTTCTACTCTACACTCAGAACTTATCTCTGTTGATATTTCAATTGCAGTGTTATTCATCTTGCAAGTAATCAAGTGGCCTGACGACCTGTACCTGAACTTTTGCTGCAATATTTTTAAGATTTACGACTAGCTGAGCTTCTGTAACAGACTCTCTCGGGCTGTGAACAGTGAACTCTAGCTGTGATTGGGTAATGAGTATGTGGCTGTTATCATGCTCGAACCAAGGGAAGCTGATATACCCACATTGTTCCTGGTCTTGGTTGTACTTCCTGTGGTAGCTTATGTCTTATTAGGAAAATGGGGTGAGGCTTCAGAGAGAAGGGAGAGGGTGAACTTGCTTGCTCAAATGGCAGCTAAGGAAGCTCTAAAATCTGAGAGCTTAGCTGTTCCAAGTGATGTCCCAGTTGGTTTTCCTTCCAAGAATAATGGGTTACATGTGTGTGCTAGTTGCTCTAGTCCAGCGAAAACACGCTGCTCCAGATGCAAGTCTGTTAAATATTGGTACTTTTCTTGCTTTTCAATACAAAAATTTCTTGTTATTTCTTTTTTCGGTTCGCCTCTTCTTTGCATCTAAATAATATTGACGGCCTTGCAGTTATATGATTTCGACGAGTTATGGCCAACGATGAAGTGTACTGTATGACTTAACGCTTCTTGGTTTTTGACTGTCTATAGCTCTGGGAAGTGCCAAATATTTCATTGGAGGCAAGCTCATAAGGATGAATGCGTCCCGGTTGAAACCAGCTCTACCTCATCCGAGAAGATTGTTCCTGAGGAAGATTCTGTTTTGCATGACTATGGCATGGATTATTCTTCATATATTTATAACGTTAAGCAGGCTGCTAGGGGGAAGACAGCTTTGGATAAAGCAATACATCCTCCTAAAAATACCGTAGAAATCTCTAGCTGGGATGAATCCAGAGGTGGTAATGGCTCCCAAGTCATCATGCAAGAGAAAAGAAGTGCAGAAAAGTGTAATTCTTGCAAGTCCAACCGAGGATCATCTAGAAGAGAAAATGGTTCTGTGTTTGATTCCTCTGAAGAAGCTTCTCAGGAAGGGACATCCTGTTTGGGTTGTGGTGACAACAATAACACGTTGAAGGAGGTTCACAATAAGCATAAGGCAAGTTGTCCTTAAACATTATACTTTGCATAAAAATGCAGACCATGAAGTATGACCTTGAAGTTTCATACATTTGCAAACTAAATCTAAACCTTTTGAGCCGTCCAAAAGTATGGTCCCATGTTTTTGTTAAAGAAGAAGTCCTAAAACTCTTAGACGGTAGCGCTTTAGCTGTGCGACCAACTATTCTATTAATATGTTACAATCATCAAATTTTGAATCCATTCTCCCCTGGAAAAAACAAAGATTCTTGAGCTGATTTGCCTGGTTAAAGATGGTCTAGGTCATGCCGGTCTGTCTTTGTTCCAGCTTTATCAAATTTCTGGTGTGGAAACCAAGTGCTTGGTTCTTTATCATATTTCTGGTGTGTAAACCCAGTGTTTGATTCTTTGTCAAATTGTCATTTAATTGGATACATCATAAAGACATGCTTTGGTTTTCGAAGTCGTAAAATTTCTCTTGGAATTTTAGCCTAGTACGAATTTTGCCTGCAGATGAGAAACAACAGCTCCTCTCGGGTGGAAGAAAATTCAATAAGTCATGATCCCAGCAGCTCTTGTATGAGAATGAATGAACAGCCTTCTGCAAGAAGGAGTGTGCCAGAGAATTTCAAGCAGCACAATTCTGATAAGAACAGTGTGGAGGCAAGAATCTCTTTTGGGTATTCAAGCGAACAATGCAGTGCACAAGGTGGGTATAAAAGAACCAAACTCTTCTCTGCTGCCACCTGCCAATCATATGACCATAATGTTCTAAACAAATGAAATTTATTCTGTTGGAGACAATGATATTTTGATACTTTTGAAATTTTTAATACATGTGTTGCATTTAGTAGGGGCCCGAATTGCTAAATCGCCCAAATCAGGTGTAAAAAAATCTGGCGGAGAACATCCTTGTACAGAGGCAAGCATGAAGGGACCAGTGACTGAGGAATCAAGTAAGCTAGTCGAAGAATCTACCTTCAACATAAGAGTTATTTTTCGGTGTCTCATGTTTTATTTGTTATTCAGAGATTAGTAAAGCTAAGCATATTGGTGCTGCTGAAGAAAGCAACGGTATCTCAACCATGGATATTATGAAGATGATGGGTTTAAGAAAGTCTATGAAGCTTACTAGACATGGTGCTTCTGAACAGTGCGATGATAGACACAAGAAATTGAAAGTTCGTTCCCCAGTGCTTTCCGTTATCTCTTTGTGTTATTTTGTGGACTGCAAATTATTTTTTCATCATTTTTTCTCTAATATTTATCAGCGATTTCTCTTAACACTTTTCAGATGTTGTTTCCCTACGAGGAATTTGTGAAATTCTTTCAGTCTGATGTGTTTGACCTGTCGCCTAGGGGCCTTCTAAATTGTGGAAACAGGTACCAGGTCATTTCTTCTGTTCACTTAGTTATATGCAAGTTTAAGGATTGCTTCTTGATAGGAAAATTAAGTTTTTTAGAGTGATGGATGAAAAAGACACTCATCCAGTAAAAAGAAGCATCACAGTCGGTGTGTGTGTATGTATATATATCTATGTGTGTTCTTCTCTTACTACTGAGTACATCTTTCTTCTTCAGCTGCTATGCGAATGTCGTCTTGCAATCCTTAATGTGTACGAAGCCACTTGTTGTCTTTCTGCTTCGGCGATCACATTCGAGAACATGTACTGCTTCTAACACTTCTTATACCAAAAGGTTGCTCTTTATCTGATAACCTGTGTGGATTTCTAGCTTATTTGATGTTATTATCTGCTATAGGTTGTCGGAAAGATTGGTGTCTTATGTGTGAACTTGAGCAACACATAATGATGCTAAGAGAAATTGGCGGCCCGCTTTCTGCTAGCAGAATTCTCTCTCATTTGCGGAGCATAAATTGCCAGATTGGTGATGGAAGTCAGGAAGATGCTCATGAGTTTTTAAGGTTTCCATTATTCGTAAACTGTATTTCTGCTTAAATCTTGATTCGGTTTCAGTATGCAATTTTTCTTTTTTGTTGTTCCATTCCATTGCATTCTGCAATGAGCTTGATGCTTCTTAGGAAAATTACATGAAACAAAATATGGCTCGAATGCAGGCTTTTGGTTGCTTCTATGCAATCCATATGTCTGGAGAGTCTTGGGGGTGAGAATAAAGTGGACCCGAGATTGCAGGAAACAACTTTTGTTCAGCATACTTTCGGTGGACGGCTCTGTTCAAAGGTGTCTACTTTGGGAATCCTTCTGGAAATATCATTTCATCATGTCATTATATTTTACGTTTTCCTGATGTCTGCTCCATTATTCTCTATATAGGTCAAATGCTTGAGATGCCATCACGAGTCGGAGAGATATGAGAATATAATGGATCTCACGTTAGAGATATATGGTTGGGTCGAGTCTCTTCAAGATGCATTGACTCAGTTCACTACACCCGAAGATCTGGATGGAGAAAATAAGTATCGATGCAGCAGGTTAGTATGATTAGGCGTGTTATCTGCTTTATCTTGACTCTTTTGTTCTGGTCTCTGGGAATTGTTGTGTGACAAATTCTCTATAAAAGGTGTGCTGAATATGTTCGAGCAAGGAAACAATTGAGCATACATGAAGCACCGAATATTCTCACGATTGTTCTGAAGAGATTCCAGGTATCATCCTGTTGCCGATTCTGAAGACGGGGTCTGGAACTTGTTGCATGTGTTTTTAATCTCTTACGAGACGTATAAAAAATTCGTGTTAGGATTCTTATTTTCACCAGCATTAGATTTGTTGCTGCCATTTTTCAATCTCGAGTTTGTGTTTTGCTCTTCGAGTTCAGGAAGGAAGATACGGGAAAATAAACAAGTGTATAACCTTTCCCGAAATGCTGGATATGATTCCGTTCATGACTGGAACCGGAGACGTTCCTCCACTCTATGTGCTTTACGCTGTTGTAGTTCACTTGGACACCCTGAATGCGTCTTTTTCGGGGCATTACATATCGTATGTCAAAGATTTACGAGGCAGCTGGTTCAGAATAGATGATTCCGAGGTGAGTTACACATGGTGATTGCTTTAGGGTTATCAATTCTCTGAACTTCCGACATTTTCGAACATTTTGAGACACTTCTCGATTTTGCAGATTCATCGGGTGCCGATGAGCCAGGTGATGTCGGAAGGAGCATATATGTTGTTCTACATGAGGTATACATTGTTCATGAGCTCTATTCCAACTTCCAAGCTTTTAATGGTTTTCCCAATCGGGTTTGTATGGATTTATTGTTCTTGCACTGTAAACCTCAGATCACATCCTCGTCCCCAGAGAACAGAACACAACTGGAAAACTCAGTTCAGACATCACGAATCCAGGAATCAGACCCGAGAAGAGAGGAAGCTGACCAACCAGTTCAGACCGAAACCAGGCCAATGGGATTTCTCGGATGCCACTTCAAGCGACTGGTCTCTCTTCACGAGCTCAGACGAAGCTTCATTCACCACAGAATCCACACGAGATTCCTTCAGCACCATAGATTACGTGGATGCGGCCTGCAACCCGGACTCGCCCTTCTCCATCTTCAACAACCTTTACCCCGTAGAATCGTCGCCACACAACACTGTCGCCTGCCGAATGTTCTCAGGTACCAAACCCGAAACCCACTATTTCATCGAGGGGAATAGTTACAGCGACACTGTCGTAGTAGATGCATCTGAAGATTATTACGGTAGCAGCATGTATGTAGATTATGGGACTAATCCAGGATATGAATGTCTGGATCTGGATCGAACTTACAGTTATCGATGACATTCGTAGTTTGTCATGGACGGGTTCTGTCGAACCCGTGATTGAAATGTTGTAGATTTTAGGGAACCTTAACTCGGGCGCCCGAAAGTTTTTGTCTTTTGAGTAAAGCTCTATGTTTTCGGTATCCATTGCTTGTTCTTCACGGCACGTGAAAAACTCAATTCGATAGAGATAACGAGTTGTATTCTGAGTGACTCAGTAAATCTCGGTGCGTAGTTTACAAACATGAACACCATTTTATTCACTACCAAAGGCTTAAAGCCCTTTAACATCTCTCCCCATCATTCTCCATTTTTTCAAGCTTCATCTTCCATCTCAAAGGGTAACCATATCTCGTTAACCCGGCCCGAGAACTCGAAAGGCGAGTTGTACTGAGCCACGGTGTAGGCCGAACCCGAGCTTGCTGTTTCATCTGCTTTACTCTTCTCGATTGCCTTGCCCCACACGGTACCTTCCAAGCTAGCCTGCAGTTTCGCGGCTTCTTCCCCGACGCTATAGTCCGAGACAAAGCCGCTGAACTGCCTCACTGCAACATAGGTCGGGTCCCATGTCTGGACATGGAGGTTGTCGGCTGGTGCGGGGTCAGGTTGGTTCAGCTTCGGGACGTAGAATGAGACCGTGAACGAGGATTCACAGAAGGGACCGTCGCTTGGTGAGACTTGGCTTATCACTGGAGCTGTCATCTCTATCTTCTGGTGATACTTGTTCTTCCCTTGTATGTAATCAAACAATCTGCTCAAAATATCAAATTGTCAGAAAACCATACAGATTTTGATGATGATGATGATGATGATGGATGTACGTACTGTAGAAAACCGGTTCGTGTGGCATCGACGAGAGAGATGTCCTGAATGGGTTCGGTAGAAATCCAAACGGTTCGGTTGTACCGGCGGATCTCGTACCCATTTCCGTCGTGAACCGACTCGTAGCTGGGGCACTCGATCCGGCTACACGTGGGCGGGAACTTCCCGACCGGGTCGGGTCCAGGTCCAAGCCACGACCCGCCCGAGAGAAGGCTGAGGAGGAAGGAGAGCTTGAAGATGCTCAGACCTGTTTCCATGGCGGATTCTGGTTCAGAGACTGCGCAAATCGTTTGCTTGGTTTATAAGGAGGGGACGAAGACATGACCCGTACACATGGTGATGTGTGTGTGGTTGATCTTTGGATAGGCTTCGAGCGTTTTTTTAACCCTGTTTTTTCCATTATTTACGAAATTGTCCTTCCTGAACAGATCCCTAAACCTAAACAGTAAACACGGAGACCGACAGAAAACTCGCACGGATTGCATTGTCTTTTGGTTTGGAAAACGGCGACACTGAAGTTGTCGTTGTTCTACGGAACTGAAGCTATTAGATTTCCGATCCCAACAGAAATGATCTTGTCTTTTTTTTTAGTTAAATTTCCGATCCAGCAATTTGTTTTCTTTCAATGGAAGACACTGCGATTCAAAGCATTTATCTTCCATGCTTCTTCTTAGAGCTCGAGAGGCATGACGATTCCTGCAAAAGGAGACACAGGATCGTTTCATTGCTTCCTTGTCCAGTCTGGGTCATATCAAAGATGTTTACTTGCCGAAAAATCTGGGGAAGTTTTACGTCGTGTGTCGCCGTCCAAATGCCCATCTCGTGTTCGATGAAATGGCTGAAGGGAAATTGGTTTCGTGGACGAGTATGGTATCTGCCTATCTGTGTGTATTGCATGATGGCAATTTAAGGGATGGGCTAAGGATGTTCTCTTCATTTCGTCATCCATGGTTTGAGGTAGGTATGGGCAGAGGCTGAAATATTAGTTTGAAGCGTGTAATTTCTGTGATGGTTCGGTGGTTGGCTTGTATTCTGAATCTGAGGATACTACTACATTTGTATGAAGAAACGGGTTATATTGTTAACGTTTTAGTCCATTTTTATGAAGGAATGACTTTGAGCTTATTGTCTGATATGATGAATCTTGGCATGCTACACCAATAGCCCTGTTCGAGCTTGCGCCCTGTTCTATTCTTCCTTGGATAATCACGAGCATTTTAGAAGGTGAATCTAGCTTTAGCCCTGGGAATGGTCTTGCTGAAGTGTATGGAAACATCAGGGAAGACAACGACTTTGAGAGATGTCTTTTAGAGGAATGAAAAAGCCAAATGCGTTCACATGGGCTTCAACGATAGCAGGTTTCGGAGAATCTTGATTGTTTGTGGAAGCTCTTGCATCTATTTCGAGGTATGCTCCTTCCCGCCAAACCTGTGAAACAATGAGAATTCACAATGGTTGGAGTTATTATTGTTGATTTTTGAAGAAGAGATATGCTACACCTTTTCTTCTATAATCATTTTTCCACTATAAATCTTGTCTGCGTGTCTACTGTCTGGTCTCTTCACATCACTTTTGAGAATATTTGCCAGAAGGTTCAACAAGATGGGGTTCATACATAGTCAGTTGCTGCATAGTTGCAAGCCTGGAGGTATTTCCACTCTTTGTTAGTTTGCTAAAACCTTGAAATCATGCTCAAAAGTCTTCCATATTTGCATTTCTTAATCTTGCAGTTCAGCTGACTCAATTCTGGGATCCATGTGCGTGAGTTTAGTTAGAGGCAGTAAAACTCGAAGCAGCTGGTAATTGATCATTACTTTTAAGAAAATTTATGCTGCATAATGCTATGTACTCTTTGAAATTTGAGGATTTAATATGAAACTTCTAAGTTTTTGTCTGATGCATTTAGAGCCCAAGTCCAAAAGCATGTATTATGTGTTATTCATGCTACCAAGGACAAGAAACTGATAAAAGGGACCGGGATGCATATAACACAAAGGCTTTGAATTTCGCGGGCAGAGTTTCATCTGCATTTGAGCTTGATTTGATATGTGATGCGTTGCATATTTTAATTTACACACATTAACCATCATTCGCTCGCTTGTATTGCACAATTCAATAGGGGATCATATGATGAAATTGTTTGGCTGATAATTTGCCAGACTACTGCCCAGCTATCTGCTGCTGGTGGTTATTTGGCTAGACATGATGTCTGCCTTACTCATCTGAATCTTTGTTTTCTACCATATAAGATTATATTTTCAGCATTTTATGTTTTGTGAAAGTCATCCAAGCAATAGGCTTTTATTTTATTATTCATGTAAAATCTTGTTTTATGTTAAAAATTAGTTGACTTGAGTAATTGATGTATATTTCTTTTGGGTGCAGAGATGCTTTAAAATATTGTTTTGGGGTTTCTTGCTCTCTGAATTTTTCAACTTTCTGGAAGCCAAAAGAAGAAAGTTCAAAGCATAGAGGTGGCGACGATAAATCCGGTAAACATGACTTTGACATATGTACATTGTCGTTCATGGCCTGCAAATCTTAGCTGCCCCTGATATTTAATTACCCAATAGTAGAATATTGGAATATTTTGAGTCTTTCTCTGTCAAGAAACTTGAAAATGCATCATTTGCTGCTGAGTTGCTTAGGTGAATATATGTTGTCAATGACAAATTTTGTTGTACGGCAATGTGCTTGTATGCAATGGGTTATCTGTGAATCAGTCTAAACTAAAGATACATATCTTGAGGAAGCCATAATGCTTTTAAAATAAAGTTTACTTGTACGAATGTCCTTTAGATGTGTTTTCTTGATATTGTAAATCTTCAAACCCGTATAGCGTATGGATAATCTTTCTTAACCTTATCCTTGTTCTGTCTGAGCTATTGTAGATTAATCTCTGATGTCTGAGGATATGTATGTGAAACAAAATCATTCTTTGAAATAATTGAACTGGGTGTTATGTATCTGACTCGTGTCTTGTCTGGACGAAAGTTGAACGGAAGTGGAACTCACCATATTTTCATTGCTAGTAAAATCATGAACCAAGGCTCAGAGTTAAATCTAATGTTCATATCAGCTTTCCTGTGTCTAGACTGTTAATTCCTTTATGAACGCCATTAGTGGCCTGGAAACATCTTAGATAATGTTACTTATTGCATCATTCCTGCCGTGTGCTTAAACTTGTTGGAAATCTGTATGGTTGTAGGAAAGGGAAAGGAAAGAGACAAATGCTTGGAGTTGGTCATGCCCACCACCACCTTTATCCGTTGAAAAATCTTCTCCACCTCACTCTTTTTGACCCAGAAAACAAAAATGTGTTCTTTATCCTTAATTTCCTGTTTGTGAGGCTCTCCGACAAGAAGATGCGCAACAAAAAGACACGCACAGGCAGTTTTCACCCACATTATATTCTCCCTTTATATCCCCAAATCTCTCTTATATCTGGGGCCAAGGGATATACAAATGGTCACTTTTGAATATGAGACTTCATTTTCCAATTAAAAGATTCCGCTTTTATTGCAACATCATGAGCTTCCGAGACAAATGGATGCTTACACGGCTATTGTCATTATCCTCTGTGCTTCTGTTATGGTCATCAATGTTGTATCGTGTTGCTTCACTTGCTTCTCCATTCTTTTCAGCTCCATTGCAGAAAGAAATCAGAACCCAAGTGACCTGAGGAGGAAACTTTTGGACCCGAAAAAAGATTTCGTGGACGAGAAGGTAATTACTGACACGAGCAAAGAAGGGTTGGTCTCGACCGCCATTGATGGTGCTTGTGGTGAGGATTGCGGCCATGAGATTTGTGCGTGTTGATCTTTTTTTTTCTGGGTTTGGTTTTCATGTAACGATACTTTGAGGCCCTTTGAACTGAACAACTTCCTTGCTATAATTCTCGGATTTTTTTTGTCCCTTTTGGGATTCTTACTGAGATGTTTTCTTGTATCCGTTTCTTGAGATATTTACTGCAATATATATATATATATATATATATATAATGGTAGTTTTGACTTTGGGAATTCATCTATGTATAAATGAACTCAAATGTGGAGATCACCGAGTTATATTATGCATTATTACCGTTTTTACTGAGATTCACAACGACGACACGACAAGCTCCGAATCCGCCGCCTTCCTACCTACGTTTGTCGGAAAAGGCAGAGAGATTTTGGCGGCGGTGGAGGAAGAGGTGGTGGGTCCCTGGACACGGCGACCGTAGTTGCTGCAGCGACCATGATTCCGGTGGATGTTTGCGGCGGCGGCGGCGGATTCAAATATGGTTGAGCTATGCATGTGTTTTGTGTCTTAATGCATGTTTGAATGTGTTTTGTGTCTTAATGCATGTTTGATTACAAAATATGTGGATTTGGATTACGGCGCATGGATTGGGAGGCTTTGCGTTGCGGTGTCCAGTGTCCGACCGAAGGGTTGTAAGATAGGGATTCCCATCGTAATAAAAAAAAATAAAAAATCAAAAAATAAAATAAAAAATAAATATGGAGACTTGGATTACGTGTTCAATTTTCAAAGTGAATTAATTTTACAGAGTTGATAATAGAAGTCGATAACGAAAATAGACGGTGACGAAATATGTTATATTTTAACGTCGTTAACTTTTTGTGTAGAAAATTATCTAGACGCCGTTAAAAAGCGGACGGTGGCTGGCGAGTATTGTTTGGTTTTTTTTTTTTCACATCTTGGGTAAGATCTAACATCATATTTTATAATCTGAAAATATTTCCCACGGAAAACATTGGTTTACTAAAAAAACATATCCTACAAAAATATAATAATGTTGGTCGGTGTGACGTCACTTGGCACACATTGGTTGAATTGAAATGAATATGATCATATTTGTTTTCTTCATAACCATAACCACACGACCTTAACCCCACTATTTCCTTCATATTCTATGATGAATTTTGGATTTTCTGGTTATAAAATGTTCTATTGTACTAATTTCCAGACTTAAGATTATCAAATCCAGTAAAATATTGGCAACTTACATAAATATAAAAATGTAAAATCCATACATTCTTCATTTTATATGTATTACTCCCTCCATTTCTAAATACATGTCGTTTTAGAAATTTTTTTTTTAACTAAATACATGTCCTTTTACATTTTCTAGGCAATATTTTAGTGAAGTTTTTAATTTTATCTTTATTTAAAAACATCTCATTTCAATAGATGATTAATAAAAATATGATTTAATAAGAATATATATGATTTTTTTTAATTTTTTTTAAATGTTATAAAATCTAAAACGATAAATATTTTGAAACCGGAGGAGTATATTATTTCTAATCGGAGAATACATCGAGTTTATGTATTTTGAAAACGATAAATATTTTATTGTATTAAAAGTTTTATTAAAATAAAATTATATATATATATATATATTAATTTTAAAAATTAAGAATTTGGTATTTTTCGAGTATATATATATAATGGTTTCAAATTAATCAATTTCATCACGAGTTTTCTCTCACCCTTATATCATTATCACACGTATTATTTTTTTTTTTTGTAACGAACGGAACAACCACAATCATTCGGGTGCAGAGTAAACCCACCAATCTCACGCAATAGCCTGCAAACCACGTGAAGAGACAAGTAATTATTTCTTACTAATTAAGCTTATCCGTCTAATTACTAAATAATTATAATGTCACTGTGATTGATGAGGTTTTGTGATCTACGTCCAAACAGTCAATAAATAATAATAATTAGCAAACCGCACATAATGGCATTTTTTTTTTAAGTATATTTGAATTAAATTATATATTAGATATTATATGATTGGGACAATATATCTCGTGTCACATGCCAATTTTTTCTTTTCTTTTTTTCGCAAGAGAGTTGACATCCGTTATTCGCGCTAATAATTTTGTTGAACGACGACCCCTTGGTGCACATTTCTTATAAAAATTCAACAATGCCTATAAATTACCAAATATAATTTTCTTTTATACCAAAACAACGTCATATATTAACTATAATAGTTATGGCTCTTTTAATGATCAATTCTCTTTTAATATTTGTATATTGAATCAATTATATATAGGAATTAAACGTTGCTATATATAAATTTGAACAAATTCTAGTACTTGTATTTATATATGAGGTATCACTATATATATATATATATATATATATATATATATATTACTATTATGTTGTATTACTAACTACATTCAATTTAAGCAAACAAAAAGTATTAAGTCGAAAAAGTTTTTATTATTAAATAGAAATTTTGTAAAAGATATTAATGAAATTGATCTATTACAAAAGAAAAAAAATACTTTGATTACAAACTAATATATATTTATAATATATTCTGATAACATATAAAAGATCTGTATACGCATTTCTCATTTTCTTTGCTCAATGTGGTTATTGGAGATCTCCACTAATTGAATTTAATTGATCGAAAAAAAAAACAGAGCCAAACATATAAAAATTGATTTTTAAAAAAAGAAAAAATGATAAAATTATATTATTTAAACAAATGAAGAAACTTGAAAAAAAAAGAGCAGAAAAGAAAAGAAAAAAACGAAGTCAACCATTAAACTCAGGCAATAAAGCCACATTCAGATGTACGCATATAAAGGAACACGAAATTAATTGTGAAAATACATAATTAAATTAGTATTGTAAATTCTAGTCAGTCCAAATACAACGATTTTCTACAATATATTATTCACAACTTTGTCGTATTTTATTTATACTTTCACCCACCTCCCCGTTGTCATACACGCCACACACACATATATATATATATATATATATATATATATATATATATCAACATACACACATATTTATACAGAAGATAGCAAACGCTTCCTGTCAGAATCCAGAGAAACCCAGAAACATAAGAGAGAGAAACTCGATCAAGGAAATGGATGGGATGACGAACAAGATATCGATCGGTGCATTGGTTTTGGCGGGACTGTGGGTTTTGGTGTGGAGATCTTTGAATTGGGTCTGGTTGGGGCCGAAGAAGCTGGAGAAGTACTTGAGGCAACAAGGATTCTCCGGCAATTCATACAGAATTTTGGTCGGAGATATGAAGGAGAGCAACGACATGGACCGGTCTGCTCAATCCCACCCTCTTCCTCTCGGGGCCGATATTCTTCCCCGGATGATGCCTTTCATCCACCGGACCGTCAAAAAATACGGTATACGTATTGCGTATATTATGTTATGTATATGATATAGTATAGAACTCGAATGCATGTATACGTTAATTTTTGTGGTGGAATATATGTATGTATAGGGAAGAGGTGCTTCACATGGTACGGACCGTACCCGAACGTGATAGTGACGGAGCCGGAGACGGTACGAGAGATTCTGAGCAGACACGAAGTGTTTCCGAAACCGAAGATAGGATCTCACAATCATGTCTTTGTCAGTGGTCTTCTCGATCATGAAGGCCATCTTTGGTCCAAACACCGCTCTATTCTCAACCCTTCTTTCCGTACCGACAACCTGAAGGTTCTCCCCCCTCTCTCTCTATATATATATATGTATGTATGTATGTATGTATGTATGTATGTATGAAACTACGTAAAATACGCACATTTTGACTCTCTCATATATAAATTACGACTTTTTATAAAGTCATATAATCCAAAGATGTTCATGGGCTTGGGACTTGAATTGAAGCGAGTGGAGACAATTTTGGTCGGATTTCTTTGACTAAAAGAATCAATGTAACGCTTTCACCAGCTTTTCTTTAGGGACTTTGCTTGAATTTCTGTTGAATTTTCAGGGTCAATTATTTTCTAATTTGGAAAAATGTTGTACCGGCCGGATTTTAAATTATTTTGATTTAATTTTTTTTGTTAAAAAAATACTCAATCGTTTTTTTATCCATCTTGTATTTCATAAACTTAGATACAGAATCTTTGATGACAAATAAATTTGTCTAATCATTGATATGGAACGACCACATTGATTTGAATAAAATGTATAATGGTGTTTTTCTCCAAATAAATAATAAATTCCACTTGGAAAAAAAAATACAAAAAATGGACAGAACATACTTCCAGCTTTCGACTTGAGCTGCAAGGAGATGCTGCAACAATGGGAGACATTAGCCGAAGGAACAAGAGGTTCATCAATGGAGATTGATTCATGGCCTTACTGTCTCGAGGTTTCCAAACACATGCTTGCTCGAGCTGCCTTTGGGGATCGCTACAAAGACGGGATCAAGATCTTCGAAATCCAACAAGAACAGATCGATCTCGGCCTCCGAGCTATACGTTCCGTATACATTCCTGGATCCAGGTAAAGTTTTCAATGATCAAACTTTTCACGGGAATATATGAGCATGATGGATCTATCTATATATATAATGTGTGCATGTGTGTGTGTGTGTGAATTCATTTCATTTTGGCGCAGGTTTTTACCGACAAAGTTCAACAAGAGATTGAGAGGAACAGAAAGGGAAATGAGGGCAATGTTCAAAGCTATGATTGAGGCAAAAGAGAAGGAGATAAACCGAGGAGAAGACGTTAAAAGTACCGACCTTTTGAGCTCGATGTTGGCTTCGAATGCTAAGATGATCAAAGAGCAAGGACCGGAATCTGGACTGACAATCGAGGATATGATCGATGATTGCAAGGCGTTCTACCTGGCCGGACAGAATGTAACATCGTCCTTGCTTGTCTGGTCATTGGTTTCTCTCGGCCAACATCAGGACTGGCAAGAAAAAGCAAGAGACGAGGTTTTCCGAGTGCTCAATACGAATGATGATCCAGATTTTGATGGGCTAAGCCATCTGAAAATCGTAAGTTTCATATATAAACCAATCAAATTTCATGAGAATGTACGTATACTTTTCTTGGAACTAGAACTAACCCGATATTGCATCATCAGATAACGATGATCCTCTACGAAGTTCTGAGACTGTACTCACCAGCCTACTTCACATGTCGGATAACCGAACAAGAACTGAAGCTGGAGAGATTCAGCCTGCCTGCGGGAGTTGTACTTACGTTGCCGATGCTCATGATCCATCACGATCCCGATCTTTGGGGAAACGACGTGAAAGAGTTCAAGCCCGAGAGATTCTCCAACGGAGTGGCGACGACAACAAAGGGAAGACTTTCCTTCTTGCCCTTCAGCTCAGGCCCTCGTACATGTATCGGACAAAGCTTTTCCATGTTAGAAGCCAAGCTGTTCTTGGCTAGGGTTCTTCAGCGGTT